GTGTGTGTGTGTGTGTGTGTGTGTGTGTGTGTGTGAGAGAGAGAGAGAGAGAGAAAGAGAGAGAGAGTTCTGTGTCTTCATTCTCACTCTTTTTCTCGTAACTATAGCAGTGTGAGCCTGTGTCCGTTAGCCTTCTCATTTCATCTCTGGCTCAGTTTGGAACCCTAGAAGATGAAATAAGCTCCCCTAATGAGTGGGAGTCTGTTAGGTGGGCACACAATGGTGTGTGTGTGTGTGTGTGTGTGTGTGTGTGTGTATGTATAGAAATAAAGTAGGTAGAGATAGGTGCACTGCTATTATTTAATCTGTCTTAACTGTTGAGTGAATGAGTGTCATTGTTTGTGTACTATGTCGCCTCTCAGGACCAGGAACATAGAAGTAAGTAAAACAAACCAAGCTCCTGTCCTTCGGGGCTGAGGCTGCAGTATGGGCTCCATCAGTGGACACGAAGCATATTCCTGATCCAGTAGAATAGTCTAGTAGGGGCTTTGTAGAGGGGTCTCTCCAGGAGAGCCTACGGAGGATACAGGATTTGAACAAAAGTGTCCCAAGAGGTTAGGGGGAGGCAAGATCCCTCCCCCCCACACACACACATAAGGACTCCATGCTAGGAATAGCTCAGCTGTGCTGGTTCCTAGGTGTGTAGTGTCCCCTGTATGTAAGAGAAAGAGTATCTGTGCTGATAGAAATGAGAAGAGCTGACTGTTGGTGTTCCCAGCTTGTGTGTATACATGGGTGCATATATGTGTGCTCAGTGTGTACATGTTTGTCTTTTTGCATATATGTATGTTGGGCTGGTAGCCTGTACACCTAAGCGTCCCGTAAGTGGGCACATGTCTCCATGATCTGTCTTGCTTTCTCTCATTCATTCGTTCATTCATTCAGTCTCACTTTTTTCTCCCTCACTGACTTATACTTAATCTATTCTCTAGGCCTGCCGTGTGGCTCTAAACCCCTCTAACGTCTGTTCTCAGGGCTTTTGTGTATCTCTTTCCCTTTTTCCATCAATTCCATGCTTCAGAGAGTGGGGCCAGCAGCCTTTTCCCTGGGCCTGGGGCAGCCCTTGAGGGCTTGGTGGTCTGTGTGGGTCAGGGGACTGGCAGGGGGTCGAGAGGTTAGAGGTATGGTCCTCACTCCAGATTGCTGAGTTGGCAGATAAAGAAGGATCACACGTATCCATGGAAGTGAGCTGTGGCCAGTTCCTAGTGAGTCTGCATCCAGCTGGGTCCCTCCCAACTGCCAGGGCTAGGCAAGGACCTGGATATCAGCAGTAAAGCCCATTTGTCTCTGACCATTAGTCACTGGGCCTAAGTTACTAAAAGCCATTAGGTCGATTGTGGGAAGAGGTGGTAGTAGAGATAAGGGTGGAGAGGTGTGTTAGAACGTGGCAGGCTCCAGGCCTCCTGGGAAGTGATGCTTGAAGGCTGCTTGTTGCTGATGTCCCCAGCTGAGCTAGCTATAATCCTCCTGGGGCACCAGAGCCCCTGAAGTATGAGAGGTTCATGGAGAGCAGATGCATCCAGGAGCTACAGGAGTCTCATGGCCCCTGCCTCTAGGCCAGAGAGACCCCCTAGCTCTTCAAGGAACGTCCTCTTAATGTCTCATATCCTTTTTGGCTGTCTCTGCAGCACCCCCCTCTGGGCAGCTGGGTCCCAAGTCTTGGCTCTTTTTCTGTCTTTCTCCTGTCATCCCACACCCTAACACTGCCCGCCCATCCTTGGGGTGCCTGCTGCCTGCCTGCTGTCTGCCTGTAGCATGTCCAAGCTGTCCGCATGCAGGCCATTGGGAAGTACCAAGCTCCCCTCCCTGGCCCAGCATTTTCCTCCTGCCCAGCCCAGCTAGCCCCTGGAAGAGCTTTGCCACCTAGATCACTATCAGTCTCTCTTCACAAGAACTCAGGCTTAACTTTGGGGATTCCATTCCCACTCCCTTGACCCTAGTTCTGCAGGCCTTGCTGGAAGATGCACAGATGAGACAGCTGGACAGAAGGTGGCCCTCCCTGGTCTAGGAGTGTAATCTAGGGCAAGACAGCCTGAAACCTGAGTTCCGTAGCTACTGGCTCTTGTCATCCAGTGCTGGTAGCCAGGCAAGGTTCTTGACAGGCACTCTGTCCTCACACATCCCCATGTGAGCACTGTGACCCTGAGCCTGCTCCCTGGCAGAGTCCCCTCACTTCTCTGCAGTGTGTGCTTGAGGATAAACCCTCAGCCTCCGGATCTACCCCTCTCCCACCAGGCCACCTCATCTCCTTTCAGGTCAGAGGGCCAGGAGGAGTACCCTGAAGATGCCCCAGGGGGTGGGGAAGGAGGCCCTAGCCAGCAGAGCAGGAGGCTGTTCCAGCTTGGCCGGAGGGATACCAGAAAGGAGAAGATGAGAGCACCAGGTCCTCGGTGGCCAGCTAGATGCTAACTCCTTTCATGCCCCTGGTTTTTAATTCCTCAGCCCTGCAACTCCCACTGGCCAACGATGGGGGCAGCCGCTCACCATCCTCAGAGAGCTCCCCACAGCACCCTACACCCCCCTCTCGGCCCCGCCACATGCTGGGGCTCCCGTCAACCTTGTTCACACCCCGCAGTATGGAGAGGTAAGCTGATGGAGCAGGGCCAGCCTAGGTCCTCCCTGTGCTGGTCCCAGGGAAGCGGGTGATGTTTGTGGCATCCTCCTTACCATCTTCTGTTTTTTGTCCCATCAGCATCGAGATTGACCAAAAGCTTCAGGAGATCATGAAGCAGACAGGGTACCTGACTATCGGGGGCCAGGTACTACCTCCCCATAGCTAGGCACCCTGGGGGCTGTGTCAGTACTCAGGCAACCTAGAGGTGGTGGGTGACAGAAACAGAGACTCTGAGGACCCTCCAGCTGTCTTGCTCTTCTCCCAGCGTTATCAGGCAGAAATCAATGACTTGGAGAACCTGGGCGAGATGGGCAGTGGGACCTGTGGTCAGGTGTGGAAGATGCGGTTCCGGAAGACAGGTCACATCATTGCTGTTAAGGTAAGCCTTCCACACCCCAGTTCCAGGATGTATCCTATGCCCTTGCAGCCTGCCCAATACTTGAAGCTCCCCTCTTGGCTGTTCCTCCTTGCAGCAAATGCGACGCTCGGGGAACAAGGAAGAGAACAAACGCATCCTGATGGACCTGGACGTGGTCCTCAAGAGCCACGACTGCCCCTACATCGTTCAGTGCTTTGGCACCTTCATCACCAATGTGAGCACCCTGCCTGAGGGACCAAGCCCCTTCTGGGAAAGTCTCAGGTCATCCTCTGCCCCTATAGGGTCCTACATGTCCCCAGGTACCATAGTGTGGCTAGGGTGGGGAGGAAAGCATGGCTGCCCCAAGCCCTGGGTACCACCTTCCTACAGACAGACGTCTTTATTGCCATGGAGCTCATGGGCACATGTGCAGAGAAGCTGAAGAAACGAATGCAGGGTCCCATTCCAGAGCGAATCCTGGGCAAGATGACTGTGGCGGTGAGCAGTACAATCTGGGCTTGGATGGCTAGATGGGTGCTCCTAGGTTCTTTCCCCCCATGACAGGTACCCAAACTTGTCTGTCCTACAGATTGTGAAAGCACTGTACTATCTGAAAGAGAAGCATGGCGTCATCCATCGTGATGTCAAGCCCTCCAACATCCTGCTAGATGAGCGGGGTCAGATCAAGCTCTGTGACTTTGGCATCAGCGGCCGCCTTGTTGATTCCAAAGCCAAAACACGGAGTGCTGGCTGTGCTGCCTATATGGCTGTGAGTGGGGCCCTGCTAGGTCTGATCAGGGGACTGGGTGGGCTGGCCCTACCTTCAGGGTATATCCTCCTTCTCTCCCACCCTGCAGCCTGAGCGCATTGACCCTCCAGACCCCACCAAGCCTGACTATGACATCCGAGCTGATGTGTGGAGCCTGGGCATCTCACTGGTTAGTTGGAGCTGTTGTTCTAGGGCTTGGTGGGAAGGCAGGGATCTCTTACCTGCTGTTCCAGCAATGCCTGTCACCCTCCCAGGTGGAGCTGGCAACAGGACAGTTCCCCTATAAGAACTGCAAGACAGACTTTGAGGTCCTCACCAAAGTCCTACAGGAAGAGCCCCCACTCCTGCCTGGTCACATGGGCTTCTCAGGGGACTTCCAGTCATTTGTCAAAGACTGGTGAGCACTCCCATGCTGCCTGTCCTTGCTCCTCCCTCTCTACTCTGGGATGTTCTGGGATGTGAGGTGTCCTCATGCTACTGGGGAGGGCAGAGGCTAGAAAAGGGGGAAGGATGATATGGGCACAGCTGCAGGTTGGCCCATGGCTTGTGGCTGTAGACAGGAGTTAAAGCTGGAGCCCTGAGAGTCACTTTCTGGGTTTGTTTGGACCTGGCCTACAGGGACAACTGGCCTTGTGGGTGTCTGGCATGGTGACTCTGCAGCTTTGTTATGAAGGTTGTATAGAAAGATCACACTTGAGTCTTAACTTTCTCTTCTGTGACCCTCAAATTGTGGTTCCAACTCCCCAGCTGGGTCTTTACCTAATACTGAATTGGGCAGGAGAGTTTGTGGAGCCCCAGCCTGGTGGAGCCTGGCTGTGAGCAACTGCTTCTGGCTGAACTAGAAGACCCCTTTCTCACTGGAGAGGGAGGGCCTGAGCACAGACACGCATGCAGGCCCAGTTGGCTTCAGCTCCCTGACTCTCACTTCTCTCTTCTCCCTGCTCTTCGTCCAGCCTTACTAAAGATCACAGGAAGAGACCAAAGTATAATAAGCTACTTGTGAGTACCTCCCCCGTCCCACCCCATGTGACGTCCTCCTGGCCACATGTGACGTCCTCCTGGCCTCAGTTGCAAGACCAGGAGGACTGACTCCTCATCCTAAGCCGACTCTTGGGCCTACAGGAACACAGCTTCATCAAGCACTATGAAACACTCGAGGTGGATGTCGCGTCCTGGTTTAAGGACGTCATGGCAAAGACCGAGTCCCCAAGGACTAGTGGAGTCCTGAGCCAACACCATCTGCCCTTCTTCAGGTAGCCTCATGGCAGCGGCCAGCCCCACAGGGGCCCAGGGGCATGGTCACAGGCCCCCCCTTCCCATCTGGCCAACCCAGCTGCCCATCAGGGGACCTGGGACCTGGACGACTGCCAAGGACTGAGGACAGAAAGTAGGGGTACCCATCCACCTCTGACTCCTTGCCCACCAGCTGTGGACAAAGGGCATGCTGGTTCCTAATCCTTCCCACTCTGGGGTCAGCCAGCTGTGTGATCCCACCCCACCCCGACAGACACTGTGAACGGAAGACAGCAGGCCATGAGCAGACTCGCTATTTATTCAATCATAACCTCTGGGCTGGGGTGACCCCCGGGGCAGAGAGAAAGCCCCTTGTCCCCATCCCCCAAACTCCCAGTGTCTGTCCCCTCCACCTTCTCTCGAACACAAGCTTGCTCTCCATCTTTCCTTCTGTCCCCTCCTGCTCTACCTCTGTCCCTTTCTGGTTTCCCTGTCTCCCTCCCAGCCTCTGCCTCTTTCCTAGCCTAAGCTTGGGCCCAGCCACTCTACCCTCAGAGGAAGCCCCAGGTTCACCTAGGCTTCCTTAAGTCTTTGCCCCAGGATGGCTTTGTGGGCATTGTGACTGCAGCCAAACCGGTTGCTGTCTCTGTGTCTGTCTGTCTCTCTTTGATCTCAGGGGGTCCTTTTGGAGTTTATTGTATTTTATTGTACTTGGTGGGTGTGTGTGTTTGGGGGAGGGGGGGTGTCCTCATTGGGTGTGTTGGTACCTTCAGAAACTTTTACCAAAGTAATGTTTAGCTGCTTGTGGTGGGCCCCCTCTCCTCCATTGCCTCAGGCATTGGGGGTTGGACTCCTTGTCATTTCTGGCCTAGGAGAGGCCAGGCTCCATTGGGGGACCCTCACATGGGACTGGGAGCTGCTTACAGTCTGGGGTTGAGTAGAAGAGCTCAGGTGGCACAGAGGGAGACCAGGGGGCCTTCAGGGAAGGTGTATGAGGGGTACAAGTAGAGAGTAGCAGGGAGCAGGGAGGGAAGTGGCGGGAATCAGTGACAGGAGTGATGCCAAGGGGCAGGAGGGTTTCCGAGAAGTCAGGGATCAAGAGTGAAGGGAGGCGCTGTGGAGGTCCAGCATGTGTATCAGGGACGAGGTGGACAGGCTTGAGTGCAGGGAGGCCAGGGTATTGGTATGTGATGTGACTTACTCCCATGATGCCCCTGAGCTCCCCTGAGCTCACCTAGAGCTGGCCAGCTCCAACCCATCTGTGGCCTGGACTGGGCCCGATGTCTGTCCCACTATCCTGCAGTGGCTAGGACAGAGTGGGGTATGTTTCCTTTTTGTTGGTGATGCATGCAATTCAAGTGGACAAAAGAACAATTTAACAAAACAATTTACAACCACACAACCCAGCACCAAAGTTGAGAAACCTTGCTGGATGTAGCTGATGCAGCTGTAGGCTTAGGTGACACTGTGGCTCTTAACTATCCTGTTGACTCATCTTCGTCCTATTCACACAATGCCGCATGTTTAAATTGTAATAGAAGTCATCTTCTCTTCCCTGGGGCAGGGCATCCTCTCTCCTTATCTCCTGTGTTTGAGAGGTGGAATGAAGTAGGGATAGAGTAGCAAGCCCGGCCCCACCTTTACCATTCTGAGGCTAGCCGCAGCATGGGTAGCCTTTGTGTGTACTTAGGTCACATGGCTGGCCCCAGGGCCAGCACAGGCCCAAGACTGGGCCTCATGGTTTTATTTTTATTTAACTTTATTTTCTGTGTGTGTGTCTTGTGTCTGTCTGTCTGTCTGTCTTGTCTTTGTCTACTGCCCTCTAGTGTTAAGTGGGAGCCTGGAGGAGTCTCCCACTTCCCCACCTTTTCCCAAGTCCTTTCCTCTGTCACCAGCCATCCCTCTGGCCCAGGCAGAGTGGGTCTCAGGCAGGTAGGGACCTGGAGTGGCCTGGTCCCACCCTCTGACCTCCTCCTCAGGCCACCAGTGTTGCCCTCTTCCCTTTTTAAAACAAAATACCCTTGTTTGTAAAAATCCTTAGACGCTTGAGAATAAAACCCTTCCCTTTTCTTCTGAGTCTGGTGTCCTAAGCCTGGTAGAGTGGATAGAGATGTGGAAAGGGCCTGGGAGGAGGGCTTTTAGTGTGTGGTTAAGGACTGCATTCATGGGAACCCAGCAGGGCCTGGACCTGGGTGGGAGGTGTTTGGAGCAACTGAAGGTGTCAGCCAGCTTTATGAGGGGCCCCCTTTTCCTAGAAATTTCAGTACATCAAGAAAGCCCTTATCCATGCAGGCCTTGAGCATAGGCTCAGATGTCAGCCCCTCCATCCTCCGCCCCCGCTCCCTGCTTCCCAGGGTGGCAGCCTCACCAAGGCCAGGGCAACCTACGCACACCTAGAGGGCTGGGTACAGCCCAACCAGGTGCCTGCTGCTGGCCTGGAGCACTCCAACCCGGACAGGCCACCATGGTGGGCACTACACTCCTGCTCCTGGCCCTGCTCCCTGGGACCTCCACTAAGCACAGTGCACCACTTGGTATGTAGAGGCTGGCACGGGGCTGAGGGCATTGTGTCCCACTTCCCTGTTGTCCCTTCTCAACTTGGTTTTGTGTGTGTGTGTGTGGTGGAGGGGGGGATGTCACCATCCCTTTTTCTTTTCCCAGACTAGCTCCTCTCTCTCTGCCAGTTTCCTCAAAGTTCTCAACCAAGTGGTGATAAGGGCTGTGGGAGTAGGGCCAAGTGTGCATATCATTTGTGATAAACTCCCAGCTAACTGCTGCTTGAAAGCAGTCATTTGCCTGTATAGGCCGTGTGTGTGTGTGTGTGTGTGTGTGTGTGTGTAAGTGTAAGCGCAAGCCTGGGTAAACACAAAAGAGACCATCCACCCTTACCTCTTGGTGCTCTCCTCTGGGGACTTGGATATCTGTTGAACAGAAATTCCCAGTCCAGTTGCCTGTCTGTACCTCTGACCTCTGGAGGGATGGGGGTGGGCACCCTCCTGACTGCAACAGATGCCAGCACCTACCTCTCCTTAGTGGCCAGTAGCTCATACTGGATCTCTTAGACTCTAAGACTTAGCAAACTGGGTACGGCAGAGAACCCTGACTTCATCTCCTCTGCTGAGCACCATCACAGGAGTGCAGCAACCCCGTGTATCCCCTTGTCTACTCTGCAAATGGCACAACAGGTCAGGGAATGAAAGAGCACAGCTTTGTGCTGGTGTCAGCTACTAAGCTCTGATGTCACTCAGGGGTACCTGGTAGTAACTTGGAGAGAATTTGGCATGCAGCTGAGCATGGGTAAAGAGACCACCTGTAACGCATCCCTTTTCCAAGTGAGACAAGGGCTCCCTAGAGGGAATTGTGCCCTTGCTCTGTGCTCTGTTTCAGCACCTCCATTCCCTGGGGCGCCTGGCCCCTGGCTTCGCAGACCCCTTTTCAGTCTGGAGTTATCAGATGCAGAGGACGCATTCCCTCGCCGCGCAGGGCCACTGGAGGTTCCAGCGGACAGCCATGTGTTTGTGCAGGTGCGGGCGCCTTAAAACAACAGGGGTGGGTGGGGAGAGGGATACACGGGGACTGGTCGACCTTGATGGCGCCTTGATCCCTCAGGCGGCCCTGGCCCGTCCTTCACCAAGATGGGGCCTAGCCCTGCACCGATGCTCAGTAACGCCTTCTTCACGCCCGGCCCTGGGGCCTGCCCTGGTGCTTCTACGTGGGGGCTGCCCCGCCGACGACTCTGTCAACTTCTCACCACCTCCACGCCCGGATGCTGCTAGCGTCGCACGCTTCAGCTTCCGCCTGCGCCCGGTATTCAATGCCTCAGTACAGTTCTTGCACTGCCAGATAAGCCGTTGCCGCCGCCGCAGTCACCGCCGCCGAGCTGTCCACCAGACACCAGTGCCTTTGACCCCACCAGCACCGTTGCGGGTGCGCTAGTGGAAACAGTAATCTCGGCATCTTCGGAATATTCTCTAGCTAGGCGAAAGCGTTTCTGGCAGCTGAGGGACCTTAGGAGGCAAAGTGCTTTATGGTCTGAGCCCCTCTCAAGATGGGTACTGGGCCTAGAGATATCCCTCATGGGGCTCTGCAGAAGGAGTCCCAGTAGACTAGAAATGTACAGCCTTCTGCTCTAGGATCCTTGGGTGGGATCTGGAGTCCTTTTAGGGCTAGAGGGCTGGATTCAAGAAAACACTGATATGTCTAAACTTCTGCACATTTGATTTGCGGTCCTCGCTTGAGACCTAGAGGCTGACATATGGGGTGTTCTAGGGCTGAAACCGTTTTTATGTTTAGGGGTTCCGCCCAGGGGTTCTGTGGGAAAGCTGGAAGCGTAAGCCTATTTATGAACCTTGGCAGACCAGACACAGAGTCACCAAGACACTGAAGTCTGGTTTCTTCCTTCACGACCCAGTGTCTGCCTCAGGATGAGGCCTGTGCTGGCAGCAGCTTGAGCCTTGGTACTGACAGCCCCCACCTGCACATGCTGACACAGCCCATCGTGGTCACAGTACCTCGTCCACCCCCTAGTAAGCTCGCAAGTGGCCCTGGAACCGGGATGGGAAGGATAGATTGGTCCAAGACCAAGTCTCAGCCTTGTACGTATCCCCATAGGGCCAGCCAAGAGTCTCCCAGGCAGAGCGGTACGCCCAGAGCCGCCCGCTCCAGCCGCTGCAGCACTGGAGCCTGCACCAGTGGTGGCATTGGTGTTGGCGGCCTTCGTGCTGGGTGCTGCACTGGCCGCTGGGCTTGGGCTCGTCTGCGCGCACTCAGGTACCGACTTCTGCTCTGCCAGAACCCCACACCTATTTCCACACGTCCAGACAGTCTAGTCTACCTGCCCCATCCCCACCCCCTTGCACCCTTACCCCTGAACCTGCCTCCAGGATCTGGCTCTTAGGGCTGGTATATTTGCAGAAGCTCCCGCCAGGGGGCGCGCCTAACCTGGCGCAGGTCACAGGCAACTCCTAGCTAGCTTCTTCTTTCAGCACCCCCACCCCCAGGCCAGCCTCCTAGAGCTTCGCTCAGCGGCCCTCAACTCCAGAGGCCCTAGTAGGCAGGTAAGTACTGGGTGTGAAGGTCTGAAGCAAGAGCTAGAAGAGGGACGTGGTGTAAGGATCGGATCGTTCACGGGTTACCTCAGGGGACTCCAAGTATTTTGTACATTCATTTAATCTTCTTCTGAACAACATTCAGATGGATACTTTTATAATGTCAAAGGTGGAGGTGGACATTGAATTTGGGAGATGGGGTCACCGGCAGAGAAGAAAGGGGTCCTTAAACTTGAACAGATAAGTAAGAGGGATTTATACAGTTCCTAGTCTCACACACACCAGTACATAGATTGGTGGAGGAGGCCAAGGCTTGTCAGGGAAATGTGACCTAAACAGTCCTTTCCCCCTCTGAGCCTCTGTCACCCCCTCTCTAGAGATGGCACAACCCAGTGAGTGATCTCCTGAGATTCATCCAGCCATGATTTCAGTACCCTTTGGAAGGACTCCCGCATGTCTCCCCTCCCTCCCTCCCTCCCTCCCTCCCTCCCTCCCCCCCTCCCTCCCTCCCTCCCTCCCTCCTTGCCATCACTTCCCCGTTCAAAATAAATTGGTGACCTGCTAACTTCTGACCTGCTAACTTCTGATGGAGTCAGTGTGTGCTCCCAAACAAGGGTGGGGGTGGGGGTGCAAGGAGGAAAGGCTCCAGGCTGTGCCTTGGGACCAGATGTGGGCAGATTTGTGGCTGAGAAAGACTCGGAATGGAGGGGTGAGACTCCAACCCCCATGAACACATATAGGCAGGGAGAGACACGGGCCATTTTCCTGAAACAGAAAATGACACACAACCTGGCTGGCTTAAGCTTAAATTGAGTCTTGCTTTCTTCCTCCCCTGCAGTACCAGCTCACCTGCTCCTTCGCTCTCCCCCAGGCTGGACCCTCTTTGCTCTTTACTCCCATCCCTTTTCATTCAGGTCTCTCTGTCCCTCTTGAATCCCACCTACGCAAACTCTCTCCTCATCTCTGCATGAGCAAATGTAAAGGCCGTTCTGGTTGTCAACTTGACTACGTCTGGAATCAACTACAATCCCGAATTGGAGGGCTCACCTGTGGTCCAGATCTTGAGGCTGGGAGACGCAAGTTTCTGGATCTTAGCATGGAGATCTTGAGGCATAGTGGCCATGAAAAGCTTAGGTTCAGGCAAGGTAGTACACGCCTTTAATCACAGGAGACTGAGGCAAGGAGATCTCTGAGTTCAGGGTCAGCCTGGGACAAAACAAGTCCCAGATCTAGTAGGGTACACAACTTTCTGCTGGAGGCCTACATAAGGACATTGGAAGAAGGAAGATTCACTCTTCTTTGCCTGCTTGCACTTACTTGCCAGCACATCTGTTGGAGCCTGCTTCTACAGAAGACCAGCTGAAACAACTAGCCTTGTGGGGAGTAACTACTAGATTCTTGGACTTCCTATTCACAGCTGCCCATTGTTGGGTTAGTTGGACTATAGACTGTAAGTCATCACAGTAAGTTCCCTCAATATAGAGACATTCCTTAAGTTCTGTGACTCTAGAGAATCCTGACTAACACAGCAATAAAGGAACTTCCAGTCTTAATCTACCAATAAGGAAACCAAGGCTTGGCAATTCTAAATCTAAATCATCTTCTCCAAAGTCTCTAGGGCTGTCCACCCACATAACACAGACTTATTTTTTCTTTCAAGCCAGGCTTTCACTGTAGTCCAGGCTAGCCTGTAAACTCAGTGATCTTCCTGTCTCAGCCTCCCAAATACTGGAAATAGTGGTTACCACTCCTGGCAAGCCGGGTTGACTTGTTTCGATTTATGTATGTGTTTTGCCTCTATGTATGTATGTATGTATGTATGTATGTACATACATCATAGGGATGCCTGGTGCCTAAGGAGGTTAAAAGGGCCCTTGGAACTGCAGTTGGTTGTGAGCCACCATGTCTGTGTTAGGAATCAAATGTGTTGTCTGCAAGAACTGTAAATGAGCGAAGTGTGGAAGAGCATAACTTTAAACCGAGCATTCAGAAGGACCTCTGTGAGTTTGAGGCCAGCTTGGTCTACATATCGAGTTCCAAGCCAGCCAAGGTTACATAGAGAGACACTGCCTCACAAACGACAAGCCCAGGATTTGAGGGCAACTGCCCACTTCTCTATGAAAAGCAAAGCACACAGTATGGGTTTCATGACATAGTTCGGAAATAGAAGGTCTAAAAGTTTTTTTTTGCTGCAGCTCATGAGTGACATAAAACGCAGATAAAACTTGGTCCCTCTGCCCGCCTCAGTCTCTGTAGCAACATCCCTCAGCTGACAACCGCGAGCCACGCCCCCATCCGTTCAATCTTCCGCGTAGTGCTCTTTCAGACCGCCTCAGCCTCCGTAGGAAAGAGCCCCGCCTGCCAGGAAAGAGCTCTGTAGAGTTCCGGCATGAAGCCACCGCAGAGACGGCGGAAGGTCCCAGCACGCTACATAGGTGAAGCTACCGGTCCCACAGCTTGGAGCCCCCGCGAGATGCGGCATCTACTGAGACTACTTCAGGCTCGGCGGGACCAGCCGGAGCCAGACGCCGCGGAGCTCGCCAAGGAGCTGCGAGGCCGGAGCGAGGCCGAGGTGGTGTCCCGTGCTGGGGGCGGGGCCAGGGAGCGTGAGGGCGGAGCTAAGGTGCAGCAGGCCGAGTGGGTGGAGCTCCGGAGCTGTGGGCGGTCCCGGATCTCAGGGGCGCGCGGGATGTGCGTGCAAGATGGAGTCTAGGGCGGGGATGTGGGTGGGATTTGAGGCGGGGTTATGGAGATGACTGACTAGGGGCGGAGTGACAATGAAGTTTCGAGTGAGGCTCTGGTGAAGCTGCGGCGCAGGGGGTGGGGTGGGGGGAACTTGGGGGCCGGGCTGCAGGTCTGTATGTGAGGGAAGCATATATAGGAGGTGGAGCATGAAGAGGTGGTATGTGAGTGGGAAAGCCTGGGGGTAGGGCTTGACAACTGAGTGGAGTGAGTCTGTGGGTAAGGCTGTGGAGAGTTGTGAGGCTGTAGAGTGTGGACGGGGAAACATCGGCTGAGCATAGCGGAATGGAGGTGAGTGGAAGTGAGGATGGGGATGGATTAAGGCAGAGTCGGTACCCAGGTGTGATGGCAAACACCTTTAACCCCAGCACCTGGGATCTTTTCATTGGTGGACCTCTTTGAGTTCAAGGCTAGCCTGGTCTATGTAGTTCCAGGACAGCAAGTGCTATATAGAGAGACCTTGTCTCTCAAAAATTAATCATCATCATCAACAACAACAACAAAAGTGAATTTGGGAGCCGGGCAGTGGTGGCGCACGCCTTTAATCCCAGCACTGGGGAGCCAGAGGCAAGCGGATTTTTGAATTGGAGGCCAGCCTGGTCTACAGAGTGAGTTCCAGGACAGCCAGGGCTACACAGAGAAACCCTGTCTCGAAAAACAAACAAACAAACAAACAAACAAACAAAAAGTGAATTTGAGTGAAACCAAAGTGAGTGTGAAGTGAAAGTCTAGGAAATGAGGTGGAGTGGAAGTGAATAGGTTAGTTCTCATTATAAGAGCAAACTGTGGCCCTAGGAAGGAGCAAGAATAGGCCTTGTTCTTACATCTTCATTAGGTAGCTGGTCACACACTGGGGCCTTGGCTCAAGTCCCAGCAGTTCTGGGAATGCATAACACTGGGCTAGTCCAGGATAGGGAGCAGAAGCAGTGCCTGGAAACAGCAAGGCAGTAGACTCTGCTCTTGCCTCTATTTCTGAGCTCATAGAAAGCCTGTCTTCCTTCCCAGATCCGCCGCTTTATCCAGCAGCTCAAAGGCCGGGTGGTTCGAGAGGCCATTCAGAAGGTTCAACCACGTGGCAGACAGGGTCCAAGGCGTCAAGAAACACAGCTCCCAGCCCCCATAGAGGTAAGGCAGGAGGGCAAGGTGAGGGGTGCCCAAGGCTGCCCCTTAAGGAGGGAGGATAACCTGGTCAGAGGAATGCAAGGAAGGGCAAAACTTGGGAGACCCCTGGGGGCTTGTCTCTAGACTGACCATGTACCAACTGGCTTCACCCAGGTATGGATGGATCTTGCTGAGAAACTAACAGGCCCACTGGAGGAAGCCCTGACTGCAGCTTTCTCCCAGGTAAATCCACTCCCTTGGCAGGTCCCCCAGGGGTAGAGAGCCTCTGTGTTTAGTCAGGCAGTGATGTTGTATATAATCTCCAAATTTGAAGGAGTAGAGAATTGTCAGGCCCCATCTAACACTACCCAAAAAGAAAAGAAAGAATGAAATGTAGATCTGGATCCTGGGCCCTGGTGCAAAGTCAGTAACTCCAGCCAGGCACTGACACTTGAGCAATAGTGTCTATGGCCATCTCTTGTGTGGGTCACCTTCAGAAGAGAGGAGGATTTGATGAGTGTGCAGAGGTGGAGGGCTCATTCTAGGCCTAGCAATAGAAGATGAAAGACTTCCTCCTTTCCTTTCCTGATGGCTCTTCCCTGTTAGGTGCTCACCATTGCTGCTGCAGAACCTCTCAGCCTCCTGCACTCTAAGCCAGGAAAGCCAACAAAGGCCTGTGGAAAGGCACTGGTGTTCTTGAACACCCAAGATGGACAGAAGGATCCTACCCCTGAAGGTTCTGGGCCTGTCCCTATGACTGCTGCTGACCCCACTCGGGAGGCCTCTGTCCCTGACCCTAAGGCCTCTGGTATCAACCCTGAGACCTCTGGCCTTACCTCAGAGGTCACTGTCCCTGACCCTGATGCCCCAACCAAGTCCCTGGCTGGATCCTCCACAGAGAGAGACTTTGCTGTGGACTTTGAGAAGATCTACAAATACCTCTCCTTCTCCTCCCGGGGTGGCCGTGGCCCTGAGCTCTCAGCAGCTGGTAAGAACTACTAGAGAGGAGAGGGGCTATACTGTGTGTGTGTGTGGGGGGGGGGGAGTAGGATTGTTAAAACATTGTCCTCTCTCATTCTTTCCCTTTCCTTCTATCAGAGTCAGCTGTGGTCCTTAACCTGCTCATGTCACTTCCAGAGGAACTGTCCCACCTGCCTTGCACAGCCCTGGTGGAACATATGACCAAAACATATGATCAACTGATGGCTCCCCAGACTTCTCTCCCTGGAGAGACGAGCCACAGGCCTGGGACTGAAGATGGAGGGACTGGCTCCACGGGGCCAGAGGAGCCTGACCAAGCCAGTCCTCAGGCTTCTGAGCCCACAGAACCCAGGCTAGCCTGGAAAGCTGTTGGGATCTGTCCACTGAACCCATTCCTGGTACCCCTAGACCTCTTGAGCCGGGTCCCCACCCCTACGAGGTGAAAGATACAGCAGATGAGATATTCTGATTTTGGTCCAGAACATCCATCAAGCATCACTGGTACTGGTGGTCAGGAACATGATTGTGGATGTCCTGACACAGTGTCCAGCCATAAGCTAATCCTTCTGATGCTGCATACACCAGCAGCCTCAGAAAGTGAAGCACGGTTGTATCGAATGGGGATTTAAGACTCACAAAGGCAGAATTCCCGGACTGGTAGATTGGGGCAAGTGTCCCTAGCCCCACTGTGCCTTGTTCTCTGCTGTAATAGTACCACATCATCATCCCTCTGTGTGTGGTGCTTGCATTTAGATTCCCCTCAGCACACCCTCCCCCACCTCAACTGACCACTATAAGGTTCTCTTCACCTTTTCCTGGGATGTCCTGTAACCCTGAATAAAGCTATCATCTAACTAGCTGTGATTTTCCCTATGACATAAAGATGAGAGCGGGGGCTCCCAAATGGCACAGTTTGGGAGCTGGAGTTTGGAATGCCAGGGAAGACAGTGTTGTCCCTGGCAAAAGCTGGTGCCTGGGCTGGTGAGATAGATGCAAGGGTAAAGTACTTGGTACAAAGCCTGGCATCTGAGATTAATTCCTTGAAATCATGTAAAGGTAAAGAGAAAACAATTCCTGAAAACTGTTTGACCAAACACATGGTATATAAACATGCATGTACACCCACATCATTACTCACAAGCTTATAATAATTTAAAAAGCCGTTTTCTAGAGTGAGCTTAATTTGGCAGAAGGAGCTCCTTGGTGACCATGTGGATGGTTCTTTGACAAATACAGGTGGAAGAGAAAAGCTGGGCTGGTCTTGTCGAGGGACAGGTGTTAGGGGCAAGTTTTCAGATGACTGAAGCCAGCAGTGTAGCCACGTGATGGAAGGAGCAAAGCCCTGGTTCCAAGGAGAGGATTCCCCAGGGGGACTAGCAGAGGACTGGAGGAAGAAGGGAGAATTTCTGGAAATGGTCTTGGAGCATTAACTACCCCTAGAAATGAAGGGAAGAGGAAGGCAGAACTGGGGGAGTTTTAGGATGGTATGGGTTACAGCTGCAGCAAGTGGCTGGACTTACAGTTGAACCCCAAGACCACTCACCCCTTATGGTGTAGGCCTTCCCACCTGCTCTATGGGTATGGAGTACTGCACCGGCCTGGAGCTAGGTCTCTGGGGAAACAGGTGCCCTCCCGCCAGAGCGCCCTCCCCCAGCCTAACAAGTTGAGAGTAAAATTTCTGTTCCCTGAGCTGTGCCTTCGCATGGCTTTCCTTTTATAGAAAAGCTCAATTCTCCCCCCACACATTGCACACGGCTCCCTGAGGATCTCAACACATCTCCCAGGCAGATCATGGAGCCAAGCCAACCCACTCCCTAGTCACAGCCCCACAAAGCCAAACCCACAGCTTCTGAGACACACTTGATGGGGACAAGAGGGAGTTTGGGGGCTGTAGGTATGGTTTTTGGAAAATAACCTCTAGGCTAACTCCTCATAGTCCCCTATGACTCCCTGGGTCAAGAGAAAAAGAAGAGAGTGTATGTGTGGGGTTGCTATATCGTGAGCTACAGGGATGGAGGTGGTTGCTAGCCCCCCACCTCCAAAGCTACTGAAGGGTTGTGTATGAAATTGAGTGTTTGCAGGATTAGGCAGCAGTTAAAAGACAACAGCAGATTTGGGTTCTAATTCCAGATCAATGGCTTGGGGCAAGTCATTTTAGCAGATAGGACTTCTAGTCTCCTGGCTTGTAGAATAGAGGATCCTAACAGGAGCTTGGCTCCTTGGCTGTCTGTCACAAACTCTCAGAAGCAAACAGACTAAGAACAGGACTGGCTAACTCAGCAATCTGCTTTACATGCAGTAAACACTCAATAATAGCTTTTATTATCTCCACCGTTCAGAGGCAGGGAGGTGTGAACGGCAAGGGAAGGGCATGGCGACAAGGGGGAGATGGGAGACGTGGTGCAAAGGAAAGGCACTCTAACCTGTGCTAGGGCTGGGGCTGGGAAGGGGATGAGCCTGCTTGTACTCCTGCACATAAAGTGCCAGACATTATCAACATAAGCAGCTGCCATGGTGGGGTTTCAGGGTCTGTCTCTTGGGCAGGCTGTACCGTGCATTCTAGGTAAGCAGCGTCCAATGTCAGTACAAGAGAGCCTGCCTGCCAGGGCCAGAACTCATGGAATGCACTGAAATTCGTGATAACCATAACGGGGAAAGAAGTAAGAGATAAGGAGACTGCATTCCGAGGAAAGGATAGAACATGCCTGGTTGTTGGGGAAGGCTGAGGTTGGAACGGGGTCCTTCGCTCACTAGGTACTCAGTGTTGAGAGATCAGCAGCGAGGGTGAGTGAGTAGAGAGAAGGGGACAGGGCAGATAAAGGCACCAGGTGGGGTTCTGGACTGGCCAGGAAGGAAGATGGGTGGCTAAGGTGGGTAAGGACTGGACTTCTCCAAACGCCCTCAACTCTGAGCTAGGGCATCTAGGCATAACGTAGAGCGCAGTCCAGGCTGGTGGCACCCCTCCACGGGGCTGACCCTTGCAGGAATCTTCCTAAGGACCTGCCCAGGACTGGTTCCCCATCACACCAACGCATAGTCGAACTGCCCACGTTCGAGCGCCTCCTTGTGGTCGGTCCAGGACGAGGCGGGCATGCGGCTGTAGGGGTCTAGCAGTATGCGTACACAGCGCACCATCAACAGAACCAACACCACGAGCAGGCAGAGCACGAAGGCGAACACCGTGCGTTGCTCGATGTCCAGGCCCGCGCCCACCGGGGGCCCCGTCGATGGCGGCAGCGGCTCCGGTGATAGTGTCCACGCCGCACTCATAGCTCACATCGTCGCGCTCTGCGGAGAGAGGGGTACCCACCCCGGGGTCCTTGGGAATGAGGCTATGCCCTTCCTGCACCTCCATCCACCCCTTCTGAAGTCGCCCCTTTGATGTATCCCACAGTATCATCCCTGTCCGTACTGTCGTCTCCGGGCTACGCCCATGCCCCGCCTGTGCGCTCCGCCGCCACAGCCACGCGGGGACTCAACTCCAGCGGTGCGCGCAGGTGGGGTCGCTGAGAGCCGGGACAGGTCAGCTTAGATCTGCCCAGCTCGCGCACAACAGGTGCGAACGCGCTGGGACAGAGATCAGAGCTGCACTGTTTGAACTGGTCCCCGCCCCGCTCCCTTTGTTCTCCAAGGCCCAAGACCCCCCTCCCCCACTGTAGCCACCTCCCGGGCTACAGCGCGCCCCCCTCACCCTTGGTCCTAGACGGGGACCGGCCGCCCTGCAGCCCCTCTCTTTCTTTCTCTCAGGACTCGTACGCTGCTTTGCTCTGGTCTTCCCCGGGTGGCGGCGGTAGTGGCAGAGGCTGTGGCAGCCCCAGCTCAGCCCACCCCACCCGCCCCTGGAGCTGTGGAGACCGAGGAAGGAGAGCCGCGCGCCAGCCGGGCCGCCGCGGCTGTTCCCATGACGACGGGGGCGGGGCTGCGAGGGGGTGGCGGCTGTGTTAGGAGCTGTGCCTGGGCTTGTGACCCCGCCCCAGACTGCCTATCAGGAGACTGGAGCTTCCCATCACTGTGCCAGCCCAGACAGCCCCAGCTTCCAGCTCTTAGAGCACCCAGGACCTCGCCAGGACATGGGCAGTTACTAGCCTCTACCACGGAAGCTTCACCCTGATCTCAGTGTCTGTATCCCTATTCTTCCAGGCCAACCCTTTACTCTAGCCTGTTTTAAGAGGACCCCGATGGCCCCAAACATCGCCTATTAATGTTAAGCTGCCAGTCTCAGGGAACCCTCAATTCAACAGAGACCCCTGACAGGTGGGATGTTTATTTTTCCCACAAAAGGGCAGGGTCTTGGCCTGAGAAAGCAGCACTCTGTCTGGCTATAATCCTTCACTGATTTAGAAGGTCTATGACAGGCACTCAGTGCCAGCCTTCCCAGCAGAGATGTACACATCAGACCGTTCACACCGCTCGTCTGCGCTTTGGTGTTTTATTATGTCCGATCTTAGGCTTATGTACAGGAAGTAAGAGCACTGATTTAAAAACAAAAACAAAAAAGGCCCTAAAGTGGGTTGGCAGGCAAAGCCAGTGGACTACTTGGAACAGGAGGCCAGACCTCACCCTATAGCAGTCCCTGGGCTGGGGCCTTCCACTGACACTGTCAGTAACCCTGTGACACTCAGGAACATCCCCCTCCTGCTAGACATCCCAAGCTCTTTCCTTGACCAGCTGTTTTTCACAGCTGTCCTGAAGAACTTGGGGCAGAAGCCAGTTCACAGCTGTATCAGATGTGCCAAAGTGTCTCTGTGTGTCTGTCCCATGATAGTCTAGCCTGGAGCTGCCTAGACTTCACTTCATTGCTGGCCTCAGAGGATCTGCTCTGTGCTGGAGGCTGAGATGTCCAGAAGGCGCCAGGCAGCATAAGGGTTGAGCTCCTCCTGGTCTCTGCAGAGTGCCCACACATACATCATTCGCAGTACCTTGTCCTGTGGAGACCCAGCAGAGTAAGGGGCCAGGCTTGGTGGGTATACAGAAGGGCTACTGAGGGAGTCAGGGAAGGCTCTAGGAGGGGCCACAGGAATGGGTGTTCAGGGCTGCTGGCTCTGGTCGCTGGTCAGGTGAAATGGTGCTCTGACTTCAAAAAGGTCTCAACTTGTAGTTGTGGTACTTCTCTTCAACCCCAGAGCCTGCCTGGCTCTGTGCTGGGGAGGCATGCACAGGGCCCTGTATGTGAAAAGCTGTCCCCAACCTCCGTTCCCTCGATTGCTACTCACCGGGTCACCGTGATACACCTCGCCTTTGGTGTTCTTGATCACCATCACCAACTGGGCCTGAAAGGTAACGATCAGCACTGGGCCCTGCTCCATCATCTTGCCCAAGGCCAGCTGCAGGGAACACAGAAGTACGGGCCTCAGAATTGTATACCTCCACCCTGCACTCAAAGCCCTGGAGATGAAAAGCCCTAAAGTTGGCACTCTGTAGGAAAAACGTCTGTCACTCTGCCCTGCTAAAGGTATGGTACAACCCTCCCTACTATGGAGGAGTGAGTTTTTCCAATGGGCTCCTTCTCATGAACAACTCCAGGCCTTCAACTGTGTGATTTCTCTGTTCCCAGACTGGGTCCATGCAGGTTCATGAAGGGCAAGCGGTGAAGGAAGGCAGGAAGTTGGCTCCACTTTGCCTGCAGCTCCCTCAAGGTAAGAAGTCCTGGTGACTGAAGCTGAGCTGCCTGTTAGGGACCCATGCTGCAGAGGCAGGAGCACCACTGCCAATGGATCTCAAGGGCACTGGAGGGTTCGGCAATGCTCACCACCTGCTCAGCAACACGAGTGCTCCTGCATGCAGGATGAGCGGCGCCCTAACAAACACACTTGAAAGTATCATCAAAACTCATAAAATACCAAATGTAATAAGCATC